AATCCTCTTTGACTTCTTTTCCCTCCCACAGGAGGACCAGTTACAGCCTCGCCTGAAGTTTGAGACTTCTGTGAGCCGAACAGCAGGAGCGCGCATCTTCTGGAGCCAAAGTCCCCCCTTTCTTCTCAGCTGTTTAGGACCCCCATTTGCAGCTTTCATGTGACCTTTTCCCTGGGATACGGAGTCTTCAGTGACCTCTCCAGAAGGGACTGGCCTGGGTTCCACCTGTCGTTTCTTGCCTGTTGACCACAGGCCATTTCAGATAAACCTGTGTCCCTGCCTACCCAGCTCCAGGCAACCTTCGACCTGGAAAGCATCCCGAAGCAGCTTGTGCTGAGAAAGGAACAGCCTGCTGACCTGACAGGATGATACACAGTCACCTCCAGTGGACATCTCAGAGACTGACAGACACCCATGAATGGGCAGAGTGGGGACAGACGGACATGCTGGGGATGTTCAGTTAGGAGAGACACAGACAGGTGCGGTGAGGCCAGCAGGCCCCGCAGAGCGAAGGCGCCAGCAGTGGGGATGGCTGAGCAGGGCGTGGGCGCTTCCCAAGCCTTTCCCTCTGTCAGACAGGCTGAAGGCACTTTCTAGCCACAGACGCATCTTTGCAGATGACCATACACTTACAAATATGAGCACAAAGATCAATCATTTTTATGAACAATAGTTATTTTTTATGGGAATGTTTTTCTGAACTTTTATCTCATAAAAAGATAGGAACCAGTTTTCTAGAGGCCATATCTTTGGAGAAGATCCACTGAGGTTTATTTTTTTCAAAAAACAAAATAAAGGGTTTATCTTCTATTGAGTCTGTAAAATGTGATGGTGGCCAGCCCTCGATCATCCCACCTCCTGGGACTCCCCAAAGAGGGACAGGAGGGTGCCTAACATCACTGACCTATGTCCCTTCAGCCATCTATCCCTGACTGCATTTCCACAGACCAGAGATGCTATGTGGGGACGGGTTCCTCCTTTCCTTTAGGAGAGACAGAAAGTTGAGACTCTAGGGGAGCCCAGGGCAGCAGGCCACAGTGGCTCTTGCAGGCTGGGGGCTTATGGAAGGGTTGGGAACCTGAGGGTACCCAGATGCCCCAGCAACTCCTCCAGAAGTCCAGCACCTAAAGAGGAGACCAGTAGGTGCATGTCTTCCCAGCCCCAGCTCTGTCCCCTCCAAGGGGTCTGCTCTCCCGAGCCCACGGCCCAAGCTAGGCTCCCTTCCACTTCCTTTTTGGACCTTTGGTGGCCTCTTAGGTGCGAGACCCCTAAGGCTGCAGGAGCTCAGACATGCGCAGAGAGGACATGCTCCTTAGAGCTTAGCTAAAGCCTCTTGCTTCCTCCACAAACACTGTGGCATAAGAGGGAACTGACCTCACAGTGAGAGTGCAGAATGTGATCTAGTCTTTCTGATGCCTGCACTCTCAGGCCCTTGTGACGCTGACATGGGTGTCTGATCCTTGAGGTCACAGGGGACCAGAGAAAGAGCTGGGCTCAACTTCTTTGCATTACCTCTGATTCAGGAGGGGCTGACAGGAAGCTCTGCCTACCCCCTGCTGTGCACAGTACATATGCAGGCAGACACACAGAAAGAACAGTTTTATAATGTTGGAAGACCACAAAATGTGCCACATTTTATGTCACCTACATTTTCCAGGGGTGCAGTCTCAAGGATCGGAGCTACACAATACAGACAGCAGCAAGGGGCCAACTCTGGAGGTCAGGCTTAGCTCTTAGAAATAGGGACCATCATGGGCTGGCCAAAAGGTATCCTCCCATTCCTTCCTCACAGCCACCCTATGGAGTGTACGATCGCTTTCATTTTTAGACAAGGAAATGGGCTTGGAGAGCTTAAAGCAACTTGCCTAAGGTTGGTGGTGGAAATGATCTTGAACCTGAATCAGCCTGGCTCCAAAGCTTGTAGAGGGAGCCAGTGCTTAAAGTCTTTGGTAAAAGAACAGTGGATACCAGACTTCAGTATCACCAGGGCCACTCTTCTGAAACCAGTCACCAGCATCCCTGCCTCTGACTCTCTGCTCTGATCCTACTGTAACTCCCATCACTTGACTCTCAGACCCTCGGTTCATTTGCCCACTGTGCCTCCCCATATGTCCACGCCCCTCTTCGGACACCCACCCTGAGCCTGTCCTGTTTCAGACTGTGTGCAATACGTATACCATTGTATAAAGCTCAAAAACAAGGGGAAATAAACACCATATGGTTTAGCCCAATGTGTATACATGGCTGTGATGAAACTCCTTTTTAAAAAGAAATGAAGAAATTATAACAATCAAGAGATTTGTTACCTCTGGGGTGAAGTTACCTCTATGGAGAAGGATCCAGGTAAGGGACACAGTAAATTTGAAGTTTCTAGTAACGTTGTAGTTCTTAAATTAGGTGGTAGGTGATTCATTTTGTTATTAAGCCTTCCTATACTTTATATCCATACAACACTTAGAAAAATTTGGGCATAAAATGGGATTTGTAAGTAACAACTTTCCTTATGTGAAATATTCTCAATATAACATTAAACAATAATTTAAAGAATTCAGCTCTTCTCTGTCTCCAAAGCCAGCTAATACTGGATTATTTTCAATTGTTCCAATGACTGTAACAGCAGAGGCCAAAGAAACATCTTTTCTATGAGTTGTCATAGAGTCAGATTTGTCGTGAAGAACTGAATAGTTTATATTCTGGACTGTCTGAGGCAGAATAGTGAGAAGCTAGGAAAATTCCTTGGCAAGTAGAATGGGGAAACTAAGATAGAGAACTGGACACACTGGTCCGAGCAATTTACAGCCAGATAGTAAATCACAAGGTCTTATCTTCCCTAACCAAGGCTACTTAGGAACAAATGGTTTACACATTCCAGACTGTCCAGGGGCAAACCCCACTCATCCCAGTCCCTCTTTGGTGACATTCTTTAAAGGTGAAACTAACCAGAGAATGACCCTGACCCCTCTATACACTCATTTTGATTAATTAACATATTAAAGGACACACCTGAAAAGCTGATTAACATTCTATTGAGATCCTCCTGAGACTTCCCCTAAAATCCCCATCTTTAGAAAACAGGTTAAGAACCCCTAAGCAGAGCCATTCGGGCTCTCTCTCTGGAGCATGCTCATGATTTTCTTCCCTCTCAGGTATGCATCTTCACTTTTCTCTCCTAAACTCTAAGGGTCCCCATGAGACTTGCAATCAGGGGAGCAGCGGGCATTGGCAGCTCGTCTCAGGCTAAGCCCCTGAACCTGTCTCCAAGGGACCCTTTTCTCTGACTTTCCAGTGAGCTAACAGCAGCCCCACCTTGGCTCACTTCTGTCACTGTGACTTTTACTTCTCAGTGGGTCCACGCAGCCCAGTGTGGCCCACTTCTTCCTCATAATGTTTCTAGAGAATCAAAGCAGAACACTGCCTAGGCTCTCCTGTTGCTTCTTCTATCCTAGGCCCTTCCTTTGTTTCACTGTCCCCAGCTTTAATAAACATACTCTCAAAATTACCTGGATTCATACTGTGAAATTCTTCCTGCATGAAGTCCAGAACCAACACACTACCAGCCAGCCCAAGGCAGACCCACTCTGGGCCAGGTCTCCTTCTGGTGACATGTTCACCAGAAGAAGAAATAGAGACAACACACACATACATAAGGCCAAGAGCATTTCTGTATACCAGCAATGATCACAAAGAAAATACCATCAAAACATTCACAGCATCGGCATCAACCATGAGTGATTTTATTGAAGACTCATTCACAGGATTCTGACCAGAGAAATGCTGATTATAACATACACCTTGAGGCACCCATCTTGACCTTACTACAGGCCCCCCCTTCCCCCTTTAGGCTTCACAATAGTGCTTTCATCCCCCCTGGAAAATGGAGCCAGGCCTCACACTGTACTCAGCTACTGCTCTCAGGCAACTGATTACAGACACGTGGCCTCCACTTCCATTATCTCAGCAGCTCTCTCTAATGCATCTGAACCACAAAATAGGCCCTTGTTTCTTTCCTATCCCAGCTCCATCTTCATAAACTGTAACAGACAGACAGGAGTCCCCAAGGGTATAAAATATTTCTTTCCAGATAATTTTAAAGGAAATGGAAAAAAATTGCCTATGTGCTAATGGAGCTCCTATGGCTGAGACAAGGTCTCTGTAGATGTGCCCTGACTAAGCCGCACACAGACTGATTTGTTAGGCTGCAGCAAATGAAAGTTATAATTGTGTGTGAAGACACTGAGAAGTGCTGTGTCCATCTAGAGTTGGGATCAGGGCTCTTCCTACCACACTAAGCTGGCCCTTTAGCCCTTATTTATAATAACTGGTACTTTTTAGAACTACCCCAGATCCAGTGAAATTTCCAGTTTTCTGAAATATTTTCTCTCACAGACTCTATGCTGGTCTCTAAGCCTTGACTGGAAGGAAAAGAAAAACACCAAAATTAAAGTTACAATTTAAGAGTTGATTACAAGGAGAGAAAAGGGTATTTTTTATAATCCCAAACTGCAAAAAAAATTTTCAGGGAGAAAATCAGGAGAGGCAAGAGCATAAAACCATGTCCTAGATCTCGCCTGTTCCTGGCATCATACAGTGACATCAGCCCACGCCCACGTGTGATCTAAAAGAGTCAAAGCACTTGAAATGTCATTTGAAATTTGCCCAGGGAGTGTTTTTAGTAGTATCTGGACCTTAGACAGCAAGAATTCCTTAAGTAAGCAAGAGGGTTAGGGTTAGGTTTAAATTCTGGAAGGTCCAGCCGACAGTATAACTAATTCCTGTTCTAGGGAGCCCTGGGGTAGCAATCAATGAGCTTTCTATCTTCCACTGAGCTCTGTAGACTCCTGCTGGTTTGGGGTAAAAAGGATGGGCTGAAGCATATGCACTCCTTACCCTCATCTTTAAGCCAAGAGAAAGATCTAAAACACGCTGAGGTACCTTTTAAGTGCTTCTAAGACAGCTTTAACACAGCTCTGGGCCAGGGACAGAAAGCCTCAGAGAAACCATAAAACACAATCCTTAGGGCACCATTATACTGCCTTGTTCTGGGAATTCTGCCCTAAGACAAAACCACACCTCGTGAATACATAAACAAGCACTTTCTGAGTCATCCAACAAAGACCGCCTCCTCCACAGAGAAGTGAGCCTCAGCCTGGGGGGACAGCAGGGAAAGTGGCCAAGCCAACCATGGCAAGTGCTTCACCTCCATGCGACAGAGTGAGTGGGGCGAGCCCACAGTGAAAACAGATCTTGTCTGTAAAGGTCTCACCTGAAAAGCTATGCACCAAATACTCTACAAACAAGTATCGGGTCATACTGCCTACGTTGTTAGAACAGCCGGTGGCATCTAAACTTCGGGCTGTAAGGTCTCTAAAGACTTCAAGAGGACAAAATCAAGACTCTGAGACAGAGACTCTCTGAAGATACTTGACTTGGAGCTGCCACCATCTCTTATGATTATTTCCTGTGTGGCTGTAAAAGTTAATGGGACGAAGCCTTCGCTATCAGCAGAGAGAAGGATCCAGCGGGAGTCTGCAAAGTAAAAGGAACACATAGGCAATTCAGGATATTTCCTCTTGTTCTACAAGGAAAAACAACATCCGAGACTTTTTGAGGGGAAGAATTCAGGAGCTGACACTGTTAAACCTGATCATCACACGACCTCACAGAGAATGGGAGGCGGAAGGGCTGTGTGTCACACAGGGTCTGGTGTGTGGCAGGAGGATGCTGACGACTCAGGCACAGCTAAGGGACATGCATTTTTCACTCAGGCTGGGCATTTATTACTCAGGGGTAGGCATATGAGCTTCTGTCCACACATTCGAGTCAGGGGTTGTGTGTGGAGTGTCCCTACCTTATCTACATGCTATCAATCCGTTTCTCCAGAAATATGTGAGGTTGGGAATGGACATTCTTACAAAGGAACCTTCTTTATTCTTTAGATCCATACTAACCTCTAGACACCCAAGGAGGCAGAGGTGACCAGAGCTAGACAAGAATGGCCCAGATAACCCTGAAAGGCTTGTTCCAGGGTAACACAGCATAACATGCCTGGGCCTTCTCTGGTTCTCTCAGGTCTACCGTGTCTTACCTTTTGACCTTTTAATTTCACTTCTAAAAATCTATACTTTCCAAAAACAACATGTAAAATACAGAGAGGTTTTTATTAACATTATTTATAATGGGCCACCATTGGAACCCACCTAAATGTCAAAGAAAATATGGCAAAGTAAAATATGGTACACTTTAGAATGGAACATTAAACCCACTCAGCAAAAATGACAATTATGAAGTCACATCATAAATGTATGTGTCAAAACAGAACAATGCTGATGCTATAATGTTAAGGGGGAAAATGAAACAAACTTCTATGTTCAGTGTAGTGGCTACTGTGACAAGAACGAGGCTAAGGCAATAACCACTAATGGACGTAGGCGTGACTCAGTCCCTCATGTCCGTAAGTTTGCTGCACATTAAAACAACCCCTTTCAGAAATATTCTGCTACGTTGCTATGATCTTTATGTTCTAGTGCAACAAGTATATGAGGTTCTTATGTCACTTCCTTGCAGCTGTTATACAGGGTTGGACAAAAGTAGGTTTATGGCTGTATGTGAAACACAGAATTTAATCTATTATTATTTATTAATTATTGTATTATTTTTCAATACAAACAACTGTAAACCTACTTTTGTCCCACCCTATATATGGCTTTGTAACTCTTTTCTAGTTTTCCATGTACACAGTTAGGTTTTCCTACTAGGCTATAGGTTCCTTAAGGGCAGAGCATGTATTTTCCATGTGTACGGTGTAATAGGCCTGGGTATACAGCAGACAATTAATTCTTGTTAATTATCTAATGAATCACAGAATGATTGGTACACGTGATTTGCATTACCAGTGAAAGCTACAAAACAGATGGTGGGAGGAAGGGGTGTTGGGTAGGGTTAATTTCTGAATTTTACCTACCATGTAGCATTTCAATAAGAGAGAGGCCAAAAGTCTGCTGCACTGTACTGAGCCTTAGTTTGCCATTGCAGAGAAGCACATCTCTTTTTTCAACAACAGATCCTACATAACACTTCTTCAAATACAAAAAAAAAAAAGTTGTTAAACCAATTGCAGAAGCAACAGAGTTAACATTTCTTAAGAATAGAAAATGTAGTTTTTTAAAATACTTCTTTACCTATTACCACTAGCAATTAGACTTCAGTTTAATATAAGGAGCTTTTGCTATATTATTTAACACAACTAAAGGATCAAAATAAAACAAAACCCCTAATTTACTTTTCCTAGGAACTTTATCACTAGGAACTGGCTGTCCTAGGATATGACTAATAACATTATAGATAATGGGCAGTAGCCTAAGAGGCACAATCTGATGGTGAGGAACAGGTGCCTAGATGTTTTAGGTGTAAATAAATAAATTCATGCTTGCTTTATTGGGGAAAAAAAGCCCAGAAAGACTGCCCTAGGTGGCAGAGTAGCAGAGGATTTGCACAAGTAACATTTTAAAAGATGTCACATGAATAAACTGTAAGGGCCATAAGTAACTAATGATTCATTTGAACTCTATGAAAGATGTCACTTTGGAAATTATAGGGGAAACTCTTCCTTGCTTTTGATTATTTTGCCTTTTTTCTTTCACTTTTCTCAGCACAAAAGGAACATATGCTCAATATAAAAGAGTAAACATAAACTTATAATGCAGAAAGTGAAGTCCCCCAAACTCTACCTCCAGAGGTAATTACTGGTAATAGCTTGGTTGGATCAGTTCATTATAAATTGAGAAACTGAGGAACTGAAAAGGCAAGATACCCCACATTTATTTTACTTAAAATATCACACTTATGTTTACAAAAGAAAAAGGTATGTTATTATTTGGTAAAAAAGACAGACGTACTTTAACTCTATCTGTGACTTTCTCTAAGGGTTGGATTATGGAGAATTTTTACTTTCAACATTAATTATTCCTATATCAGTTACATTCCCCCCTACCCCCCCCAATGAGCACATATTATTTTTGTAATTCGGAAGAAAAAAAATACTGTGCAGATGTAAAAAAAAAAAAAAAAAGAGAGAGGGAAAAAAAAAGTCTGTATGCTGATATGAAGAATTCTTGAGGATATATTATTAAATGTTAAAAGGAAGATGCAGAACACTGGATATAGTGCCCTACTTTTTGTGTAACAAAAGGGGAAATAAAAATACATAGTAAGATCTGCTAGTATCTACATAAATAAATAAAAATAAAGATGTTACCTATTGGAGGTGAGGGGAACAGATTAAACAGAGATGAGATGAGAGTAAGACTTCCTAGTATATATCTACCTTTCTATTAAAACCTGTTTTCCTTTTTAAACCAAGTAAATGAACTACCTATTCAAAAAGAGAAATAAAAATGGAAAAAAATGTTTTAAAAGTCATGTAAGAAAAAAAAATCCAAACCAACTTTCACATTTATAAATACTATAAATTTAAAAAATAAAAAAGTCTATTTACTGAAAATACACAGAAAACTTCATGTATTTTTATAAAACCATTTAACTGCTTTAGCTAAAGACAATGTAACAAAAATCTAGAACTGAGGTGTTAAATGTTTATAAATGTGTTTCAGTGAGTTTTGGTACATGATATAACTAATTCTTAATGTGGTTGTAAATTTAATTTGAAAACAACTATATTGGTGATTTAAATGACTTTCAGCTGGTTTGTGATTTAACTGGTTTTAGGGAAAATTGGGGGAATCTGAATAAGGACTGGTTATTAGATGATAATAGTAACTACGGTTAATGTTATCACATGTGATAATGCGACTGTAGTTATTGAAGCAAATATGCTGCATTTTTCAGCATCCTGAAATATCTATGGGTGAAATACATGATATCTTTACTTAAACTATATTAGAAAACAACAAAAAGAAGCAATATGGCAAAATGTTAATAACTGCTATATCCAGGAAATACAGGATTTTATTATGTAGTCTATGTGTTTACATTATTTCTTAATATAAAATGTATTTTATGTGTTTGAAATTTTTCATTTAAAAAATGTTTTTGTTTTTTTTTGTTTTTTTTTTAGTAAAATGGCTGTTACCAATCAAGGCGTTATAATAAGACACTCAATTAGAGCAGGATGTAATTGTTTTAAATTATTCTTTGGTTCTTTTAAAAACTTACATCCTTGAGTCAGCCAAATAATACTAGTTTTAAGAAAAAAATTAAAATATCACTTCTTTACCATTTTACTATTTTTAAAGAGCAATTTACATATTATTGATCATTGATTTCAACAGCAACCTTTTGCAATTATCTTTTAAAACGAAGATATATAAGTCTGCAGTAATCAGATCAGTTTGGTACTGATAAAGTTTTAGGTAAAGAGATCAGCACTACAGCAGTTACAGTATGGAGAATCCAGAATTAGACCTCAGTATGGACAAGTTTATATATGATAAATGTGGTAGATCAAGTTCAGTGGGATAAAGGTGAATTTTTAATAATGTTGCTAGTATGACTGGTTATCTAACTCTCAGAAAATAGAAATGGCTCATACACAAAAATTTAATTAAAGATTAAAAATGTAAATGTAGGCCCTGGCCAGGTAGCTTTGTTGGTTAGAGTGTTGTCTCGATATGCCAAGGTTGTGGGTTAGATCCCTGGCCAGGCACATAAAAGCAGCAACCGATGAATGCAAAAATAAGTGGAACAACAAATCAATTAAAAAAAAATTAAATGTAAAAACCAAACTAATAAAATGTTGCAAGAAAATCAAGATTATTGCGTGTAAATTAATTTCTATAATATACAAAAACTTCTTGTAAACTACTAACTCAATAGGAAAAAATGAGCAATAGCTAATTCATTTATTGGCCCCAAAACATGAAGGCATATGTACTCAAATTCACTAATAATAAAGGAAAAAGGAATTTAATAAAAGTGAAATACCACTTCACATTTATCAGATTCATGAGGGAGGGAGGAAAAATCTAAAAATCTTTGAAAGGCAATCTGGCAAATCTTTTAAAAGTAGAAACATATATATTCGAACTGCACTTCTGGGAACCAACCCAACAGAAATAAAAGTAGGAATACAAATGGATACATACAAGAATACTATTGCAGCACTATGAGGAGTGGCTAAGAACTGAAAACAAAGTGAATGTCCATCAACAGGGGAACACCTGAATAAAGAGCATACTCTCGGCATGAAGTAAAGAGTGCACCACATGACCCTATTTTTGTAAAACAATAACACCTCTGAACCTATATATAATTTGTACCTATATACCTACGTATACAAAGATTACGTAAGATTATATGAGTCTGAAGTACACTTTGGAAGGATCCACATTAAGCTGCTGGTTAAATGGGGAGGAGCACAGCTCAGCTGGATAGGGAAGGAAAGTGTTTATGAAAAAATAATATGATGCCATTTATGTAATACCATGTTTGCATATGCATGCATAAACCGGTGCATTAAAATTTTTAAAATAAATACAACCTCTCTTATAAATGAAAGAGGGTCTGCACTGCATAAGAAAAAAGTTTCACAATGAAATAGCACGATTAAAAAATACTTTTTCCTAAATATAAATTGGCAGCCCGGCTAGGCATGGATCAGTTGTTGAGCATCGACCTAGGATCCAGGAGATTGCAGCTCACTTCCTGGTCAGGACACATGCCCAGGTTTCAGGCTCCATCCCCAGTTGGGGGTGTGCAGGAGGCAGCTGATCAATGATGACTCTCTCATCATTGATGTTTCTCTCTCTCCCTTCCTCTCTCTCTGAAATCAATAAAAAGATACTTAAAATAAATTGGCAGAATAAGTGCAATCACTCATGTTTTCACGCCATACACCATAAAAACCAGTGTATACTGGTATGTGTGTCCATGTGGTTGGCAGGCAACCAACCTGTAAAGGTTTAACAACTCACCTGTAGTATAACATGCCCAGTTCAATTTAAATACCATCTTTCTCATCAATTAATTTTTCTGGCAGTAACTATTGGCTGCAGGAGCTTTTATATACAGTGGTAGCTCCTCAAGGAGAAATTACCTGGCAAGAGATGTGGACATAAGACAGATCCTGAGACAGTGGATACGCTGGAGAGGATTTCTTTCCATTACGTAGGAAGTCTGTGAGTTCAGAAAGACATCGCTCTACTTCACTCAGTTTCCTAGATAAGGTTTCCAGTTCCTTAGAGAGCTGAGAAGTTTCCTTTTCCTGCTGTAAATTCTTTCTTTGGGGAAAATCAAGAGGTTCCGGGGTGCTGGTGTAGTCTGGTGTGCTGTTGGGTTTGGGCACCATCACTGACAGATTCACAGGCTTGGCATCCAGGGCTATGGAGTCATCACAGACACTGGATGGAGGACTTCTGATTTCTCTAATAAAGGTACTTCCAGGCCTTCCACCTCGACTGCTGCTATTAACTGTTAACAAGAGCCCTCTGTTTTGGTGACAAATATCTGGGGAAAGACTTTCAATTAGTTTTTTTCTCTCTGCTTTATTTAACAGAGTACTAAAAGTAGAGTAGCCACTTTGGTTTTCACTCAATGTTACTGGAAATTCCTCTTCCAACATTACTTCCCTAACAATCAAGCGAATAATATACTCATCGGATTTCGAAGAAGGAAGAAATGTTGAATCAGTGGATTTTTGTTTTCCTACCAAAATTAATAATAATTTATCTGTCAAGAAACATATGCCTTTTGGTCTTTCACTACTCTCTAACTGAATTTGCTGGATGTTTTGCATAAATGATGGAATGACAGAATAGATAAAAATTATATTACAAGTATTGGAAGCCACTGCCACAACCTTTGCTTTAAGATTAAATGCTATTAGATCAGGAACCAAAATGCCTGGAATGGTGACTTTTTTGGTCTGGGTAATCTTGTTCCCAAAGGTCACAAGGACCAAATGTGAAGAGTCCAGATCAGTTCCTGTCAAGCAGTCCTTTTTTCTTAGACAAATAAGGGCATTACTCTCAGACTTAGATCTATTGAAACGTATATGAGTTAGATCTAGAGGATCTAAACAGGAAGAAGAAAAGGGAGAAACTGATGTGTCGGAATTTGTTCCAGAAGGGACTGCCCCCTTATCCACAGAGGGCACCTCATCAGTAACTGGTGAAGTATACAGACAAATGTCTTCACTATTAGGTGGAATGTCAGAGGTTTCAGATGCATTTAAGCCACAAATCTTATCCATTGGAAGTTCAGTGGCTATGACCATCTGTGAGTCCACAGTGGCCCTGATGGAGCGCACATCGCTGTCCACATCCAATACTGGGCAGAAAGAGCACCTGTGAAGAGTCTTCTGAGCACTGTCCCAAATATAAGAACGCAGGCTGCTGCCTACTGCCACCACCAGCCTCTGGCCATCCTGGGTCCAACATGCACAATGAACGAGGCCCTGGGTGTTGCTGTCCACTTCTACTCGGGAACTATCACAGTGAACATTATGAAAAATGGAGACATCCTGTGCAGTCAACACAGTCAGGACAGTACTTTTTGGGTGCCACACACAGCCTTGGGGAAGGAGAGGGTGTGACTCTCTAATCTCGCAGGTCTGAGACATCAACCACTTGCTTGTTTCTGTAGCGCTGGGACACAGCTGCCACACGGTGACATGCTGCCTGTGCTGGACAGCGAGCAGAGGGGGTGTGTCTGCTGTACCAGGTGGGGCCCAGGACACCGCATAAACATGTTCAAATTGTCCAATGACCTTCGAGTCCCCAAACCTGGCCTCCCCACTCTGAAGCTGCACATCAGTCAGGACTACCTGATTCCCATCGGTCCAGGCAAGGCCGTGAATTGGATGTACTGCTTGATACAACGCATTCAGCCCTCTCCTGAGAAATGTTCCTTTTCCCAACTCCATTCTTTCTGATGAAGGTTATCTGAAATAATTAAGAAGAAAAGCTACACCCTGAGAATATAACCAGACAAACCCAAAATGTAGGACATGTTACAAGACAACTGGCTTAGACCTTTCATAGGTCAATGTTGTGAGGGGATAAAAGGACAGAAGGAATGGGGCAGGTTCAAAGAGACTACTGAGCCCTAACAAGCAAAGGCAATGTATAAACTTTGGATCACAAACTGAGGAAACAAAATTTCCTACCAAAAAAAAAAAATCTATACAACTGGGGAAATTAGAATATGGAATGGATATTAGAAGATATTGTAGCGTTAATAGTTTTCTTAAGTGTGACCATGGTACTGTGGTAACATAGGAAAATGTCCTTATTGTTAAGATAACGCATGTTGAAGTATTTGGGATAAAGTGTCATAATGCCTACAATGTGCTTTCAACTGCTTTAGAAAACAAACAAAAAGACCCCAACAAAATTATATATATATGCAGACAGTTAAAACAAATGTAGCAAAAATGTTAATTATTGCTGAATCCAGATGGAGGCTATGTCAGTATTCATGGGATTTTCAACTTTTAAGCTAGAAATTTTTCAAATTAAAAAGTTGAGAAGTCTCCATCATCCAATTTCTAGTCTCTTTTCACTGCCAAATCAGTAAGTAACTGATATTCACGACTCTGACTTGATTCCTCAACTCCCTTCAAAATGGCCTTTACCTCTACACTGAAATGACACTCAAAAGTCACTATTGCTATTTCTACTTCATCATATTCAAATAGAACTTAATTTTCAGAATAATTCACATTCCCTAATGCATTTGCTCCTTGCAGCAATCCTTCACAATAATGTAAACTAGGTTAAGCAAGTATTACTTTCAATTTTTTCATTCTTAAGGTTTTTTATTCCAGAGATTTAGATGATAAAGCACTGTTAATTTGGTGTATAGCCTTTGAAACTGTTAAAGAAACCTACTACACACACACACGATTTTATATGTGCTAATATTTTTTTGAACCCTCACCCGAGAATATACTTATTGATTTTTTAGAGTGAGGGGAAGAAAGGGGAAGGTAGAAACATCAATGTGAGAACATCAATTGGTTGCCTTCTGTACCTGCCAGGCTAGTGACTGAACCCGAAACCTAGGTATGTGCCCTGAACGGAAATCGAACCCGCAATCTTTTGGTGCACGGGACTATACTCCAACCAACTGAGCCACACCGGCCAGGGCTAAATTTTTTTGGACAAAGAATGGGGTATAAGTCAGAGCTCCTGGGTATTAACAACAGAAACCACTCTGGTTAACTTAAGCAAAAAAAAGAAGACTCCAGAACCAGGTTCAGAAAACAAGCAGGAACCAAATGAGGCTAGGCACAATAAAGCACTGCTGCCCCTCTCTAGACTGCTGAGAATCTAACTTCTCAGCAGCTGAGAATCAACTTCACTGCCCCTTCACTTGATGGCAATTGCTTAAGATTCACAATGGGGAGAGGGCTACCCCTGGTTGGGCTGAGTTCACACACCCTTTGCTCTAGCAACCAGGAGGGGGAGAGGGTTTCCCCACAAAGAGCCAAGAGAACAAAGGTTGAAATGACCTTCAGGAGGTCTCCAATTATTTGGTATCTCCTGAAATATTTACACTTTCCCTTCCCCCTCTACGTCCCCACAGGTGCGTTACCTTTGCCTTTCTCTCTCCTAAGCTCCCAGGGCCCTTCTTTTGCTTCTGTAAAACCTATTTCCTGAGCCCACGCAGCCCAGCTGGCTCACTTTTTCTACCTCTGTGACTTTCTAAATAAACTTTCGCTTGTGCTTGGGAGAAAAAAAAAATCAGCACACAAGAAAGGTAAATTCACACAAAAAAATCCACCCAAAGAAAATTATGATTACGTATCTCTAGCGTTTTCCACGCAGTTCAACTTTTTCAATCATACTGTACAATTTTGTATCGCATTTTTTTCACTTAACATTATATATCATATACTTTATATTTAACATTATATATTTTCCCACGTGATTTAAAAGTTCTGTAAATTATTTTCACAGGCCACTTAATATTCACTCAGTGAAGTTGCCTAATTGTCCTCGCTGCTGAGGCCCCTGGTTGTAGCAACTTTATCACTGTTACAAATAATTTTGCGATAAAGGTCTTTATGCATAAAGCACTTTCCTCATTTCGGATGGCTTCCTTAGGATATATTCCCATAAGCGTCACTCACGAGCCACTGGGAATATATTCACTCGTTTAAGCCCACCCGCGGCTCGTCAGCACCCACTAACCACCGCACGTGGGGCCCCGCCATTCTTCCCAGACCGCGCGCACACCTGCGTGTCTCCCACCCTCCACCTCCCACCGCGCCCACCCACAGGCTCCCCACACCCTCTGGGCTGGGCAACAATGGAGACGAAACACCTTTGGACTCGCTGCCCCGCAGAAAACCACTTTCCCGGGAGCCGCCCCAACTCACCTAAGGCACTTCCCAAGTCCGCAGCTGGTACCGGAAGCACCGACGCTAAGGCCTCTGATAGGTCAGCGATGGTCGGATGCTCGGTAATGCCGCCTGCCTATTGGTTCCCACTGGCCAATAAGCTCGGGCTTTGCCGCACAGATCTCTGGGAGTTGTAGTCCCACTGAAACTCGCCTGTAAGCCACAAACAATTCCTCTTTCTCTTAAGAGGTTTAGCGCCTTCCCCCGCTGCTTATCGGTTCTCTTAGTCTGAGGAGACCAGGAGCCCTAGGGTCAACATGGTTTCTTAACTTTTGGGGGGAGATAGGGGAGTCAGGGATGGGAAGGAGTTGAAGACCTCTTTAAAATACCAAATTTCCTTAGAAAAATGTTCTTATGTATACATGAAATATTGTGCATTCCACAGAAGCCACTCTTATTGACCTGTTCGTTACACACCCCTGTTCTACACGTACCCCAAAATTTCCTGTCCATGGCCATAGCCCATGGACTAGGGCGTCACTAGGCTTCTTTAGACCAAGTTACGTTCCTGGGAGAATGTGGGCCACACCTTGAGCAGCCAGCGGGGAATTGCAGATCCCGACCCTCACGGTACAGCTGGTCATCACCCTTCCGGAGCAGCACAGCGCACCCGCTTTCAGCGATGCTGATAACCTGAGGCCTCCTCGTAACCCCGGGGCGGAGGGGAAGACCCCCTCTGGGGCCTGCTGCGGACGCCTCTGCTCAGCCCCCCCACCGCCCCCCATCTTCCAGCGCCACGTGTCAGAATCACACCTTCAGATAACTTTTGGAACAATGCAGGGAAGGGTTAGAAATAAGAATTTAAAGAAGAAATCTAAAGTCCCATTCGTTCACTCTTCGAGCAAATGTTATTTCTTCCAAAAACCCTTCCAGAGTCCCGGCTCTGTTTTGGGTGGAGGAGGAACCCGAGGCCGAGCGCCATTCCCCGCGGGGCGCGAATCCCCCCGCGCTGTGCGCGCCCCCCGTCCCGGTTCTGGCCCCTGCGGGACCGCGACTCTGTCTTCATTCAGTCGGTTTCCCAGGATGCAGTTCTTTGCCTGGAAAGGTGGGAACCCACGCGTGCGTGGGGCAGACCCACCTGGAACAGAGCGAGGGCTTCGAGGGGGTGGGGAGGGGCCGGCAGTGCGCCTGTCACCTCGCCCCCAGCCTGCCCCGGG